CACAGTTTGTTATGATCCACACAGTCAAACACCTTTGCATAGTCAATGACACACAGATAGACATTCCTCTGGTATCCCCTACTTTCAGCTAAGATCCATCTAATGTTAGCTACGATATCCCTAGAACCACAACCCCTTCTAAACCCAGCCTGGACTTCTGCCAGTTCTCTGCTGATGTGCTGTTCCAGTTGTTTTTGGATAATCTTCAGTAGAATCTTGCTTGCTTATGAAATCAATGATATCATTCTACAGTTTCCACACTTTTTTGGGTCACCCTTTGGGATGGGAACATATATAGATCTCTTCCAGTCAGGTGGCCAAGTGGTTGTTCTCCAGATTTCTTGGCACAACTTGGTGAGCACATCCAGGGAAGCATACATTAGCTGAAATATGTCAATTGGTATTTCCACACACTATCAAGTCACCTTTTCTGGAGTAGAAATATATATGGAGTCAGTTGGTTAGGTGGTTATCCTCCAGATTTCTTAGCATAAACTGTTGAGCACTTCCAGAGAAGCATCTGTTTGTTGAAATATGTCAATTGGTATTCCATCAATACCAATACTTTGAGCTGTGGTGTTGGAGAAGAATGCTGAACATCCTATTTACTGCCAGGAGAACAAACAAATATGTCCTGGAAGGGGTATAGCCAGAGTACTCTTTGGAGGCAAAGATGTCATCTTTGTGAGATTTTTCCTTACATATCTTGAGCATGTTGCTAGGAGGAGCTGTTTCTTGGAAAAGAGCATGATGCTGTGAAGGGAGAACGATCAGTGAAGGAGAAGAAGACCATCAACCAGGTAGATTGGCATGGTGACTGCTACAATGGGCTCTAGTGTGCCAGAAGGTGTGAGAATAACACAGGATAATACTGGTTTCAGATCTATTGTTCATAGAGTCGCTATGGGTTGTACTCGACAGCATCTAAAACTAACAACAACCTTCCCTCAATTCCTGGGTCCTTGTTTTCGCCAAGTCTTTCAGAGTAGCCCCAACTTCCTCCTTCATCACGATATGTTTCTTGATCATACGTTGTTTCATTAAATTCTTCTGTGTCAATCAACTCTTTTGGTACAGTGGCTTTGTGTATGCCATTGTCTTTTTTTTTTAAAGCCAAAAATCTTTATTAATATCATACTATAAACAAGAATAGAGACTTAATAACAATGACATGACTTTTTTTTAAATTTAGGTTGTTTGTTGTTTATTTTTTATTTCAATGAACATCTACAGAGATTTTGGGATTCCATTCATTCATTGTCTTTTAATGCTTTTTAGACAGTTTCATATTCTTCCCATATTATGCTTAATATTTCAACTCAAGACTTGATTTTGTTCTTCAGTTTCTTCAGTTTAAGAAATGCCAAATAAGTTCAGCCCTTTTGACTTTCTGTCTCCTGTGCACATTTCTTTATAATACTTTCCTTTGTCTTCTCAAACTGCCCTTTGAAATCTTCTATTCATCTTAAATTTCTGCTTTATTCCCTTCGCTTTGGCTTCTCTGCACTCTAGTGCAATTCAGTCTCTTCTGACATCCATCTCAGTCTTTTCTTCCTCCTCTGTCTTTGTAATAACTTTTGCATTCTTCATAGATGTTATTCTCAATATCATCCCACAGCTCATGTGGTCTTCATTCATTAATGTTCAAGGCGTCAAAACTGTTCTTATACAGTGTTTTGTATTGTTTGGGTTTTTTTCCCCCTTGACAGTGTTTTATGGGGTTTTTTTTTCCTTTTCTTTTTTTAAATTCATGTGGGATAGACTCAAGGTCATATATTGGTTCTTGTGGACTTGTTTAGGAAGACTTTTTTTTTGCTGCAATAACAACCTAGCATCTTACTAAAGTAAAACAAAAAATTTGTTGTTTATATTGTTCTTATTTGTTGTCAGCTGTTCTGAAGTTGGCTAAGATTCATATCAACACTGTTGTTTTTGTTGTATACCATAGAGTCAGAACTGACCCATTGCTAACCTTCTGGCAGGTTTTCAGAGGCAAATAATCACATGAGAGGGGATTGCTCATCCTTCTCCCACAGAGCAGCTGGTGGCCTCAACCCTTGTGCCTTCAGGATAGCAGCACAGATTCTTGCCACTAGGCCATCAGATATGAACAGAATAATACCTTATCTTGTCCTACACCATCCTTACCATATCTACATGCTCAAGACCAGTGTTACAGTAATTTTGTCAATCCGTCTTGCTAAAATCTTCTCTTCCTCTGACCCTTCACCTTTCTCAGTATGCTCTTTTGTTGTGTTGTTTTTTTGGTTTTTGGTTTGTTTGTTTGTTTGCTTGTTTTTTTCTTTGTTTGTTGCCCTCCCCCCAAAGGGCTTTCTTAATGACATACCTAAAGACTGTGAGATGATATTTCACCATCCTTGCCTCTAAGGAGCATTCTGTTATCACTCCCTCCAGGACCACTGTGTTTGCTCTTTTTTTTCTCCTTGCTTTATTTACAAAGTTCGCATACATTGTTTTTCACATCGAATCTTTCCCATTTCCTTCACACACCCCTACACTGATTTTGTTTACCTTTTTTTACAGTACATGACATTTTCAATAGTCTTCTCCAATATTACAATTGAAAGGCATCGATGATTCTTTCATCTTCCTCATTTGTTGTCCAACTTTCAGATATATAAGAAGCAACTGAAAATTACATGGCATCAGATACACGTTAGTGCTTGAACTGCCATACATGCTCATTAACACTTTAAAGAGGTACTTAAAGCAAATTACCCCAGTGGAACAAGCCTTTAATTTCTTGACTGCTGCTACCATGGGTGTTGATTGTGGATCCAAGTAAAATTAAATCATTGACAACAGCAATCTTTTCTCCATCTATCGTTAGTTTACCTATTGGTTCAGAGGTGAAGATTTTGTTCTTTTGATGTTGAGATATAACCAGTATTGAAAGATATAGTCTTTGATCTCTGCATTAAGTACTTTCCATCCTCTTCTTGCTTACTTTTTGTAAACAAGATTTAATCATTTGCATCATGCAAGTTATTTATAACCCTTCCTCCAATTCTGACACAATAGTCTTTTTCATAAAGCACCTTTTCTCGAATTATTTGCTCAGAATAAATCTTGGATAGACATAGAGAAAGGATAAAATTCAGACATATACCTATCCTTGTTTGAAACCAGTGTTACTTTATTCTGCTAAGAAAACTGTTTCTTGCTCTATGTACAGGTTTGAAGTTTACATTACATTTCTATCATGAATCAGCTGTGTACATTTTTAGCAGTACTCTTATCTTAGACCCAGGGACCAGGCTGATAAGGTTGCCATTCTAGAATGTTTTTAGTCATATTGATTGGCACAGGGCAAGAAGGGAATTCTAAGGATTCTCACATCAACCTAGAAGTGGAACGCACACCATTGCTGCTTAGAACTCAAATGGCCAGAAGGAAGGATAAACCTACCATATGTCCAGAGGGAGGAATCATACGCGCATTTATTAAACAGAACAAATTATATTGTTAGGTGCTATCAAGTCATCTACGACTATAGTGATTCTATGAATAACAGAACAAGACCTTGTCCTATCCTGCACCATTCTCATGGTCTCTAACTAGTTCTAGTAACTATCAATTCAGCTATTTCTTTCAATGACCCTCTACTTTTCCAAACATAGTATCTTTTCCCAAGGCCTGACAACATACCCAAAATAGGTGAGATGAAGTCTTACTGTCCCTGCCACTCAGGACCATCATTTTTGCTCTACCTCCAAGACAGCTTTGTTTATTCTTTGGACATTCCATGGTCTATTCAGTGTTTTTGCTAACATCACAATTCAAAGGCATCAAGTCTTCTTTATTTTCGTTGTTAATTTCCAAAATCCACGTGTATATGAAGGTATTGGAAAGACCATGGCTTATGTTAGACACTCTATATATAGTCCTGTGAAGGTTTTTAAATTCAGTTGGAATAAATTCAAGATTGTGCTTTGATTCCTGTGGACTTGTTTTGGTTGTGTTCAGCTTCTATCTGACTTTGAATCTATGAGTAATTGATGGTTTGTTCTACAGTCAGACCCTGGCCTTGTTTTGATGGTTGATTTTCAGCTTCTCCTTTGTCTTTCCACAGATGTAATAAACTTTTTTATTTTTTGTGTGAAAAGAAAGTATTTATTCTTTTGTTAAGTAGATGTTGAAAAACTTCTAATATTTTTAATTTTAATTTTAACAAAAGTTTATAAAGAACCTGTATTTCCGTCCGTTCATTGTTGCACATTTTCCTCCCTACACAACCCCCTAGTTCACTTTCTCTTTGAAAAAAAAATTATTATTGCACAATTTCCTTCCTCCCCCAGTCCACTTTACTATGCAGCTCTTATTCTGGACTATTGCCATGTAAATAATACCTAATCATATATTTCTTTTAAGCAGTTCTTTCCCTCATCTCTTTCAATGCAGTGTACATTATCTATCCCCTTTTTCCTTACTTTTTCCCCAACTCCCATGTTAGTCCTGTTTTATAACAGTGGCATTATGCAGTATTTATCCTTTTGTTACTGAGATATTTTATTCAGCATAATGCCTTCCAGGGTCACTGATTTTGTATAATATTTTATTAATCCCTTGTTTTTTCAGTGTTGCATAGAATTCCATTGTATAATCAATTTGATCCCTGTGTATTTCATCAAACAAGGTCCATTTATATAGTCACTTTATGTTGGCTCTCTCTCTCTCTCTCTCTCTCTCACACACACACACACACACACACACACACACACACACACACATACACACATTACCATCAGGTTTGAAAGCTCAAATTCAAAGGTGATGCCTTAATATGAATCCATCTCTGCAACAGAAAGTTGGGAAAGCTCAGTGCCATATCCACCCTCTGAAGTCTCACTAGAGGGTTGGCTATGAGTTGGTTCCAACTCAACAGCAATGATTTCAATTGAGTTGAGTTGAAATCTTTGTACTTTGAGGAGGTAGCTCTTCCCCAGTCATATTTTGAGTGCTTTCAACCTGCGAGCCTCATTTTCCAGCACTCTATGAATGTTCTACTGCTTTCCATAGGGTTTCCAAGGACCTGTTCTTCCAGAAGTGGATGACCAGCTCTGCTTCTTCATTTTTCTTAGTCTGGAAACTGCTGGAATCAATCTATTACAAGTAGCCCTGCTGTGTTTTAAATAAATCTTTAAATGCATCTTCCAGCATCACAGCAACATGAACGCTGCAGACCGACAAACAAGTGATGGATGACTAATGATCATGCTATATTTTATAGTGCCTTTAAAACTCTCAGTGAGGAAACTGCGCCAAATTTGTTTTACTTTGGTTGATGCCTTTCCCTTGCACATATGTTAATTGAGGATGTTCTGTCTTATTTTCATTTTCAGGTAAATTATGAAAATCTCCTTTGGTTTTTAAAAGTTGCAACTTCAAATGAACCACAGTCAAGTAGAACTGTTGTGGACAATGACCTGAAGAAATCCCAGAGTCCTATCAACTATAACCAAAGGTACATTCTTTTTTTCTCTTTAAGTGGGTATATTGTTCCCAGATTTCTAAAAATTGTCGAGGCTGTTAGAGGCCATTAAAAAAAAAGAAAGGAAGAAAAAAAAACTCAACTTGCCCAATATAGAATCATTTTCTCTTCATCAAGATGTGTTTTATGCTTTTTCTTTTTCTAAGTGCAGACCAGTGTAACAAGTTCTTTTCAACGATAGCACAGTTTCTAATGTGTGTGTGTGTGTGTATGTGTGTGTTAAAATAATATCTTTTTCTGTTTCACTCAATGCACAATTCCCATTCAACAAATTATTCAGTAATATTATCTTCATTATTTCTGTACTGGTTGCTCCATTGAGCATTTGTGTTTTCATGAGGTTGTAGTTTGGAAACTGAAAATCTCATTGTAAAGTAAGAAATAATTATATAGATGGTGCAGAGTTTTGCTAAAATATGTATATCAGGTACATTTTCAGTGGGTTAATCCTGAGATCACAGACACTAACAAAAATTTGAAGTATGCAAAACAACAATCGCTCACATAATGACTCTGAATAAAAATGGAGGGTAAAAGATAGCAGTAGGCATGAAACAGAGAAAAGTGGCCAAGTACAATGGTTAGCCTGCAGCATCCTGGGCAGATGACTTGGCTAAATTTCTACATCTACCATTGTCATAGGGAGCTCTGGTGGCCTGGTCATAGGGAGTTAAAAGCCTAATTCTGTTCAAATCATGGTTACAATGAAAAAGGAGGAAGAAACACAATCTTAGTGATGAGTTATTATTAAATGAATAAATAAACAATGCTGGTTCTTCCCCAGGGAACTCTGGTAGCCTAGTGATAAAGAGTTGTGCTGCCAGCCTGAATGAATGGCGGTGTGAAACACAATGTAAATGAACTCTGTAAACAAACCAATAGATAAAATTTTTTTTTTAAAAAAAGAATTGTGATGCCAACCTAATAGCACATGGTTTAAATCCACCAGCTGCTCTGAGGGGAAAATGGACAATCTTCTCCTGTGTAATTTATTGCCTCTGAAAACCAGTTGGAGGGTCAGCAATAAATTGGTTCTGACTCTACAACACATCACTAATATTGTGTCATGACTAATACTGTGTGTCAGTGTGGCCATGATCCTTAGAATAACATAAATATTCTATGTGTGTGGCAGAGTCTATAGGCAGTTGCTCTGCTAATCCAATGGCAGTGCTGTTCTGATAATTTGGATCCACCAGAAGATCCTCGGGAAAAATATGGGCAATCTCTCCTTTTCTCCAGCTTTTGGAAAGCCCTCTGGAGGGTCCACTAGGAGTTGGTTCTGACAAAATGGCAATGAGTAGAATGTAAGTCATTGTTGTTAGGTGCTGATGAGGTGAGTACGACTCATAATGACCCTATCAACAGCAGATCTGAACCCTACCCTGTTCTGTGCTATCTTCATAATCCAAAGTACTTGAACCTATTGCTGCAGTCACTGTGTAAATCTACTTGGTTGAGAAACTTTCTCTATTTCACCATCCCTCCACCTTCCCAAACATGATTTTGCCATTCCTCCACCTTCCCTCTTCAAAAAGGAGCCTCTCCTAGAAGCATGTCCAAAGTCTGTGAGACAAAGCTTTCTCATCTTTGCCTCCATGGAGCACTCTGGCTGCACCTTCTCCAAGACATATCTGTTGAGTCACTGTTAGGATCCTTCAGGTTGGTTCCAATTCATAACCACACTGATCAGAACATAACTAAACGCTGCCTGGTCCTGGATCATCCTTACAATCTTTCCTGTCTTTGAGCACATTGTTTCAGCCACTGCATCAGTCTTTCATGACGCTGTTTCCCAGGGCTAGATCCCTCCTGATCACATCTCCAAATTATGAGACAATGTTGTACCATCTAATCTAACTAACCTTCCAGTAGTGTTATATCCAGTCTTCTAGAAATCTATATGGTACAACATTCTCCACAGACAGTATACTCCAAAAGCATCAATTCTTTTTGGTATTCATTCTTTATTGCTTCACTTTTCTGGTACATGAGATGATTGTCAAGTGCATCTTGGTCCTTAAAATTACATCTTTTCTTCTTAACACTTTAAAGAGGTCTTTTGAAACAGATATAATTCTTACATATAATATAATACACAATATATGATTCCTTTTATCGGATTGCCTATAAAATTAATATACCTTGTGTATCATGCATAAACATTATAGTCCATACATTCATACATTTGCATCCTGTGTTTCAAATGATCGCTCATGTATATTATGTTTTGTAAAATAAATCACTATTGATCTATGATTATTATTACCCCATCTTTTCAGAACCCCATTGGATCCTTCCTAATTTCTTGACCATTTCCACCACCACCCCACTCACCAAATTGCTATCCTAGTGATTTTCACCCCTCACCACCTTTGGCCTTCCTGCCCCTCTCCTCTTCCCCTTTTGGACTTTTATAAACATGTACCTTACTAGTTATCCTTAGATTTTTTTACAATAATGGTCTTACGTAGTATTTATCGTTACGAAACTGAGTTCATTCATTTAACATAATTATCTCGAGATTGTCCCATGTTACATAGTATTTTTCAAAATAGTTATTCCTTAATGCTGCAAAATATGCCTTTGTGTGAATATAGCATAATTTCTCAATCCATTCACTTGTTGATGGACATTTGTACTTTTCCCAGTTTCTTGCTATTGTGAATAACACTTCTTTGGGTATATGTCTACAAATCTCCATTTGTGTCTATGTTTTATGTTTCATGGGTTGTACACCCAAGCAGTGCACTCATTGGATCATATGGACTTCTACTTTTTTCCAACTTTTTAGAACATTTCTTTTATTAATATTTTAATGAAAGTTTATTGAAAACTTGTATTTCCATTCATTCATTGTTGTACATTTTCCTCCCTACCCTTCCCCAGTTTGCTTTTCTCTTTAAAAAGATTCTTTCTACTGGGAATATACCCTAAAGAAACCATAACTGCCACCCATGTTTATTGCGGCTTTGTTCACAATAGCAAAGAGTTGGAAACAACCTAAGTGCCCATCAACAAACAAATGGATAGAGAAGCTCTGCTATATTCAATGCACAATGGAATACTACACTGCGTTGAAAAACAAGGAACTCACGCAATATTATTCAAAATGGGTGACCCTGGAGGACATTATACTGAGTGAAATATCTCAGCCACAAAAATACAATACTACATAGTGCTACTGTTGTAAAATGGGACTGACATTAGGGTTGGGATGAGACTGAGAAAAATAGGATAAATTATGTATACTACATTGAAACAGATGAGGGAGAGAACAGTTTAAAAGTGATATATGATTGGGTATTATGGTTATGACAAGAGTCCAGAATGAAGGTTGCATAGTGTGTGTGTGGGGGGGGGCGATTGTATACAAATGAAGGAATTTTTCTTTTACTTTTCAAGAAGAGGAGTGAACTGTGTGCAGGGGAGTGCGGGGGTTGGGCAGGGAGAAAAGTGTAGCAATGAATGAATGGAAATCCAAAAATCTCTGCAAATGTTCATTAAAATAAAAAAATTAATAAATAAAAAATTTTTTAAAATACCACAACCACCAAAAAATGATTCTTTCATTGTTGCATAATTTCCTCCCTACCTCTTGCCCCCAGTTCACTTTACTATGCACCTCTTATTCTGAACTGATGTTGTGCAAATAATACCTAATCATATATTTTCTTAGACAGTTTTCTCCCTCATCTATTTAAATTCAGTGTTCATTATTTATTGCCTCTTTTCTTAGTTTCCCCTAATCCTCAGGTCAGTCCTCTTTTATAACAGTGGCATTATGCAGTATTTGTCCTTTTGTGACTGAGATATTTCTATTTCATTCAGCATAATGTCCTCCAGGGTTACCCATTTTGTATTATATTTTATGAGATCCTTGTTTTTCAGTGCTGTGCAGTATTTCATACGTGAATAAACCACAGCTTCTATATCCATTCATTTGATGATAGACACTAGGTTGCCTTCATCTCTTTGCTATTGTGAACAAAGCTGCAATATACATGGATGTGCATATATCTGTTGAGGAAACAATTTCACCAGCAGTGCATGAGAGTTCCAGTCTCTCCACATCCTCTCCAACATTTATTGTTTGATATTCTGTTAAACTTTGTTACAACTACTGGAGTGAGATGGTATCTCATTGTGGTTCTGATTTGTATCTCTCTTATTGTCAGTGATTTTGAGCATTTCTTCATGTGTATGTTGACCATCTGAATATCTTCCTTTGTGAAAAGTCTTTCAATGTCTTTTGGCCATTTTGTGATTGAGTTATAAGTCTTTTCCTTGTGGCAACCTTGTAGTATCCTATAAACTTTCATTGTGAGACACTTGCCTGAGACGTCATTGACAAATTTTTTTTTCCCAGTCCATAGGTTTTCTTTTCAGCATATACTAAAAAGATTCTTATGTACCCAGAGAACTTTAGAAGGTCTTATTCATTAATTTTGTCCTCACCTGATAGTGACTTTCTGGTTATATTTGCAAGCCATAGCCTAGGCCTTTTAGGTTTAGTCCCATTTTGTCTCTTAATGATCTTTATGATTTGGGTATTTACCCTGCGGTCTATAATTCACCCTGAGTTGTTTTTGCTTTTTTTCCCCATGAGATGTATATGAATCCTGCTTCGATATTCTGCAAGTAGGTGTCCAGTTTGGCCAGCATTATTTGTTGCACAGATTGTAGATACCAATTGGCCATAGGTAGGTGGGTTAATTTCTATCTTCTCAATTTTATTCCATTGTTCTATGTGTCTGTCATTGCACCAGTACCATGGTGGCTTGATTATTACAGCTGCATAGTAGGTTTTGAGAGCAAGGAGTGAATATTATGCATCCAACTTCATTTTTTGGTTTTCAAAACTGTTTTCTAATTTGGGATCTCTTTCCTTTCCAAATAAACTTATAAATTTGCAGGTGCATGAGAGACAATAAGATTGGCGAGAGATAGAGCAAGGTTTAGGGCTTAATAAA